CCACCACGAAGTCGAGCGTTCGCCCTTAACATTTCAATGATTTACTGATTGGACGACTTTATAATTGCACATTTTAAGAAAATACGTGGTAATAATACTCTCGAATCCGATGAATTTTTCCTTCTCAAAGCTATTTTGCCTTATATACGCCTAAATTTGGGCAACAGACTCTTTGCCGCATATACCCATTTACCAAATCGTAGATCAAATTAAACTTCATGCTTCACACCATGAATTGAAGCAGCTGACCATTGGGCTGCTGAGAATGCCTACAGTCCTGGGAGATTCATTAGCGTAGTTTTTGAAAAGGTTTGATTTGTTGACCAGTGTCTGAACACTCTAGAGGGTCAAGTTCTCGCTCAGTCCTTCTGTTTGACACAGAACGCGAAGATGAACTTTAAGTGTACTAATACTCACTTTAGGTTTAAGGCCAGACAGTTGCTAAAAGCACACCTAAATGAGACCACTGAGTGCTTTACATGCAGTCTGCGACATTTAGGCGTCAGATGCACGCACACACACACTGTGTGGTTTCCTTTCAACTTACATACGTCGGAACACTAATTCATCTTTTCTAAGGTCCTCATCTTTGATTACCTATTTAGGAGTTTGATAGGGTCGAGGCCACGATCATAAATCCAGTTTATACCAAAAACTCACCATCCCAAGTATTTCGGTAAATGCGCGAGATTAGGATGTAGGCAACGACAACTGACGCTTGTGCCATAAATCCCAGTGATTGCGAGATCGCTGAACCACTTTTCAAATAAAAATGCTTGGCTGACGAATGGCTCATTTCGCATAGCATCAAGACAAAAGTAATAGAACAGAAGTATAAAGTTGTGATCCTCTGCACTTATGTAATTTACCAGTATTAGGCATACTCTATGCTGAGATGGTATTGTATTCGTTAGAAAGAACTACTAGAATATAGCATGCCCTATGACCTGAGTAAAAATAAATTTGCAGAAGAAAATATAGATTAATCGTGAATTAAAAAGTTTTATGCCAACAGAGTATACCCACTCCTACGTTAGCTTGGGTTGCATCCTTGCTGCAGAACAAATTTTTTTAAACCAGAGGACCACAATTTTTCGAAACTTGGGATTAGCCACAGGATTACTTATTATCTTCCAAGGCTTCTTTCAAAATGCGGCTAAATGTGCAAACGGTGCCTATCTCATCCGCTTTTAAAAGTGAGTTCAATTGGTTATTCCAAACCTACACAAATCCAGAGTCGCTGTAGAAATTGAAGAGGTAGTGAGCACCTGCATTAACACAGTTTCCAATTATGCTTGCCAGAAGGGGTGGATAGACCTTATTCTAAAAGCATGAGATAAATGTATCAGAGGGGCAAAAATCGGAACTAGAAGCACTCGGCTTGACCTACCTGAACTTGGACGTACTTAGTAAAAATTTCAATTGTTGTTGCGAACTAAAGTAATCCATTGACTCGGTAACGAAAACACAACTTACAAATAGTCCGGGTATAAGTCCTAGGAGGTAGTTTCCAGTGTACCTACGAGGTAAATAACTTTTTTAACTAAACCTATGATCCACGAACATACCCAATGAAGTTCAAAGAATGGTGCACCATGCTAGACTTAGTTAAACATAACAAGCAAATATATGTAGCTAAAATAGTTCGTTGCCTAATCTAGAATGTGCTGCAATTAAGATTTACATTTCAGTAATGTTAATAAGTAAAAAAATATGTGCTTTGTACCAGCTCTAAATATCTCTACTACTTATAAAGGCTGTACCTCTACTACAAATCACTATAACCAACTAGCAAGTTCTTTAACATTTTGCTATGTAAATTAAGGAGTAGTATGTGCTAAA